GCATAAATTAGAACACTAAACACAAGATACATAAATTAGAACACTAAACATCAGATGCATAAATTAGAACACTAAACACAAGATGCATAAATTATAACACTAAACATCAGATGCATAAATTAGAACACTAAACATAAGGTGCATAAATCAGAACACTAAACACAAGATACATAAATTAGAACACTAAACACAAGATGCATAAATAAGAACACTAAACATAAGATACATAAATAAGAACACTAAACATAAGGTCCATAAATTAGAACACTAAACATAAGATGCATAAATTAGAACACTAAACACAAGATGCATAAATTAGAACACTGAACACAAGATACATAAATTAGAACACTAAACACAAGATACATAAAATAGAACACTAAACATCAGATGCATAAATTAGAACACTAAACACAAGATACATAAATTAGAACACTAAACACAAGATACATAAATTAGAACACTAAACACAAGATACATAAATTAGAACACTAAACATCAGATGCATAAATTAGAACACTAAACATCAGATGCATAAATTAGAACACTAAACACAAGATGCATAAATTAGAACACTAAACCCAAGATACATAAAAAAGAACACTAAACATCAGATGCATAAATTAGAACACTAAACATCAGATGCATAAATTAGAACACTAAACATCAGATGCATAAATTAGAACACTAAACATCAGATGCATAAATTAGAACACTAAACATCAGATGCATAAATTAGAACACTAAACACAAGATGCATAAATTATAACACTAAACATCAGATGCATAAATTAGAACACTAAACACAAGATGCATAAATTAGAACACTGAACACAAGATACATAAATTAGAACACTAAACACAAGATACATAAAATAGAACACTAAACACAAGATGCATAAATTAGAACACTAAACACAAGATACATAAATTAGAACACTAAACATCAGATGCATAAATTAGAACACTAAACACAAGATGCATAAATTAGAACACTGAACACAAGATACATAAAATAGAACACTAAACATCAGATGCATAAATTAGAACACTAAACACAAGATGCATAAATTAGAACACGAAACATCAGATGCATAAATTAGAACACTAAACATCAGATGCATAAATTAGAACACGAAACATCAGATGCATAAATTAGAACACTAAACATCAGATGCATAAATTAGAACACTAAACACAAGATGCATAAATTAGAACACTGAACACAAGATACATAAATTAGAACACTAAACACAAGATGCATAAATTAGAACACTAAACACAAGATGCATAAATTAGAACACTAAACATAAGATGCATAAATTATAACACTAAACATCAGATGCATAAATTAGAACACTAAACATAAGATACATAAATTAGAACACTAAACATCAGATGCATAAATTAGAACACTAAACACAAGATGCATAAATTAGAACACTAAACATAAGGTGCATAAATTAGAACACTAAACATAAGGTACATAAATTAGAACACTAAACACAAGATACATAAATTAGAACACTAAGCATCAGATGCATAAATTAGAACACTAAACACAAGATGCATAAATAAGAACACTAAACACAAGATACATAAATTAGAACACTAAACACAAGATGCATAAATTAGAACACTAAACACAAGATGCATAAATTAGAACACTAAACACAAGATGCATAAATTAGAACACTAAACACAAGATGCATAAATTAGAACACTAAACACAAGATGCATAAATTAGAACACTAAACATAAGGTCCATAAATTAGAACACTAAACACAAGATGCATAAATTAGAACACTAAACACAAGATGCATAAATTAGAACACTAAACATAAGGTGCATAAATTAGAACACTAAACACAAGATGCATAAATTAGAACACTAAACATAAGGTGCATAAATTAGAACACTAAACACAAGATGCATAAATTAGAACACTAAACACAAGATGTGTAAATTAGAACACTAAACACAAGATGCATAAATTAGAACACTAAACATAAGGTGCATAAATTAGAACACTAAACACAAGATACATACTCACCTCACCACTGAAAGCAGATATCATTTACAGCATTATTATTTTAGTCGTATTGAGTAATTTCTTATATTTTTTCATAATGACAGACTACACAAATGAACACAGTTGTCGCTTTGAATTCACCTATTTATATATTTCATTTATCACAGAAGCGCCACACCACTTGAAAGTATGATTTGTAGGATATGATAGGTCCTAGCTTGTCTAAATCACACATGCATATTGTGGTTGTTTTCAGGCTGCCAAATATAAAGCATTGATGTTTCCTGTTGCTGGTGCTATGCTAGGTGGGGTTGTTGGAGGACCCATTGGTTTAGTGGCGGGTGCTAAAATTGGGCTGGCTGCTGCAGTCGGAGGTGGTGTTATAGGTTTCACTAGTGGAAAGATAATTAAAAACCGTCAGGACAGAGCTAATGATATTGAACTTCAGAACCTGTCAACGAAGCAGTGGAAATCAGCGCCAGATTTGAGCACTGAAGATTTATTAAAGGACACTGACTAAGGTTTACTTTACAGTATACCCAGTAAAAGCTAAGAGTGCATTCATTTTAATTGTTCAAAGCAGTCTGCCACTATTTTAACTGTTCAAAGTTTTTCAATTCATCATGTTACAATAAAAAAACTTATGTGAATATAGTGTCAAATGTTACCCGCGCTAGTAAGAGCGCCATCTATAGACCTTATCAATGAAGTCTTTTGTTTTCTGTTTTAAAGTGCACAAACTGTTCTCTCCACACAATAATTTACAAACTCTTACCAGAGTATCCATTTTGTTTTTTAACTTTGCATTGGAATGCGTGTGTGTGTTTCTGTATTGTAACTTTATCTGAAAGATGGATGGGAGGGCTCAAGTTACTGTAAAATACTTTATTTTAGCTGGAATTAATTTTCCAGGTGAAAATAAATGTATTTATAGTATTCTTAAATGCAATATTATCCTCCTCTGATTTGCTGTTTTATATGTCTTTGTGTAAAAATTGATCTTATTTGTATAAAATATATAAGTGTTGTATAATTACTCATCTATTTTAGGTATAGTGAATATCAATCAGTTGCTGTCACAAATAACCCATGGTTTACAGCGAGCGTTACATGTGTTTTAGTGATTTTTGTCTCAGCAGCACCAACAACTCTGTAATGTACATGCGATTATACAGTAAAACCTGTCTATATCTTTTATCAACACCAGTTCCTCTTGTGTTGATAAAAGATATAGGGCTGATTGTAATTGTCAGTAAAAAGTATGCGGACAAGATATAGCTGGAAATGAACTTTTCTATTCAAATACAATAGTTATTAAAACTAATTTCTTTCAGTGAATGTACTTATATCAAGACAATCTAGTAAACAAGTATTGTGGTGTCATGTAAAGCCAAATTGAAGTTCAGTCTGTCTTTGCTACAGTCTTTTTTATCCCTGAGCAATTATATCCATATTTCTGTCAAGTTTTTCAACTTTCTGAAAGTACATGTTTATAAAAGAATAGACGTAAAACATAAATGGCTGCAGAGATCTTGTTGGGAGTGAAGAGTCACAACTTGTTTTTGACTCAGAGTTCCATTCTGTCTTGTCATAGTGTTCGGTTACATTGACCTATGTTATTTAGTGAACACAAGGTTGAAAGAAAATGAAACAATATTTGAGACAAAAACAAATCCTGTGTCCCTTTCGTTCTTGGCAGCCATTTGAATCTAAGGTCTATTTGCATCAAAATATGAATACACAATATGTGCTACAAATAAATTGTGAATATTATCAAATATTATTAGTTATTACCCATTTTCCTGCACCTTGCGAGATCTTGTGCGATTCCCCAAATTAATGGGTCACAGATCATGTTCTACATGGATTGCAAAGTGATCACCATTTTAGCAATTAGTTTTAAACGACAAACTGCATAGTTATGTTCATGAAAGGGGGTATATTGTTCAGCATGGTTACCTTCCTATTGGAAGTAGAGATTCAATTTCCAGCCCAGACTGGCTGTCCAGAATGCCTTTAACTGTTTTAGTTTGTAATAGTGTGAGGTGGACCTTGAACTCACTATACCCATTATATACTGCCATCCAATCATACACATGACAAGTAATGAGGTAATCACTGAAACAAACACTTGCATCAAATAACCCTTTTGTTAAAGGCCCAGGTATACTATAAATATGCTCCTAAACAATAGGGATTATTTCCTTGCTTGTCACGCTGTAGTAAACAGCTCCAGCCAAGCTCTGGTAAAAATGAGTTTTCTCGAACTTACAGGTCGATTATGTCGTGCCAAAGTGGATGCATGTGACTATGAATATCACAGTAGTGACTGTGTGTAGTATTTATGTCAATAAATAGTGTACAAGCTGAGATTTTTACGGATAAAAGTAAAAAACACGAACCGAGGAAAGGGACGCACTAATAATCTTGAATAATTAACTACTTTCAATCAAGGTCACGTGACGTTGGACCGCTGAAACAGGATGCGTCATAGGCTATGCAAGTGATTAACACTCATTAGCATAGCCACACCTCCAGTTCACACTTGCCCGGGGCAAGTGAATTGGGCCTTTAAAGCGAGAGGGTCATCACCTGCGCACATGTAAGAATAGAGTTCCAAGCGGTAACACACTAAAAACACAAAGGCTCATAGGTAGACGCTTGATTGTAAACACAAATGATTATATATATTCCTGCAAGAACCGGATGCAGGTAGTACATATATGCAAATATCTAACAATTTATTTTCATACCGAAACCAAGCACTGCCCCCTCCAAGTTACTTACCAGAGGAGCCGCAGTTTTGCTTCGGCTAGGGATTGGAACATATTTCAAACAATACTTTGGTTTAAATGTAAAAGGTTTTAATCTGATAATTAGCAGATAAATTTACATTACGCATCAAATTATTTGCCATTGATAGCAAAAAAAATGCTAGGATTATGATTAAATAATCTTTGTTATTGTAAATAAAGAATTTATACAGAGAAAACTTTTCAGTCATAGTACTCCCGCCAAGGTCACACACAAGATAATGCATATTAGCATTAATCCAAGTGAAACACGAGTAATATTCAGGAAACACTTTATACAATATAACTATCGTATAAATCAATAAATCATAGTAATTTGTATCATTGACAAACACATAAGTGCTACTAATTCAATGAAAGCTTGATATGGGTGTTCTACTGAAAAGAAACAATGTACATTAACACACCATCTTACCATTTGTGCCATTTGAATAGAGACAAGAGTATTTAAACAGAAAAGTGGGGTAATTAAAATAAATGAAAGCAAAGCTTTTGAAAAACCTATGGATTATATTGTAGATAAATGTCTTTACAGCAGGTAGTGTGCTGGTCTTGTCACAATTCGAAACTTGACATATTATATTGGCTGAACCACCATGTCAAACTTAAATAGTCCAAATATAAGGTTTATTTGCACTACGGAGTCGTGCTGGTATCCTTTGAAACACGGTAGGTGAAATAATCTATGAAGTATAGTTCCATTCCATAAGATACATGTATCCTTGTGTACAAGTAAGTTTTAATATATATATATACATAATTGGAAAAAGTGAAAGTGAAACCCAGGAAAAAAAATTTAACCTGCAAGTCAACAGGTGTAAAATATCAGGTTGAAAGCTTGGTACAAATGTTTAAAGACCTTTGAGAATATCATTAAGTTTTAAGTGTTTTATTAATGCTGAATCAATTGCGTACATCCATACCACTGCAAGTGAGGAAACTCTGACTTGACAGGCCATATGAACACAGTTACCAACAATTCTATACCATATTTGCGATATTAGAAGCACATAAGCTAACATACATATCATAGGTGTGTTTTTAGCCAAAATAACTTGTATTTTAACATACAGTACTCAATGAACGTAATTTACGTTTGAGTGTGCTTTTAATAGAGCATATACAGTAATATTTGAAATGCTTGAGCAGTGATGAAACACAAAGAGGATATACAATTAATGCATAACTGCAGGTGAATGACCCACAACATGGTAGGTATGAACACAGTACATGAGAAAACAATGACATCAGCAAGACTTGTGTTTAAAATGATTTCGTCAACATTGGCTAGTTTCAAGTAAACAATGTTGTCCACTTGTTGCATGGAAAACCAATTTAAAAAACAATGTGAAGCAATGACTAGCACTTTAATTCAAATGCTGAAATCAACACGATGGTACTCACTAGACTAGAAATCTTACATCGCCATTCAAAGGTTAGAGGTAAATCATGTGATTGATTATAGCCAATGGTAATGCATCAAATTCAATGAACCACCAATCATCTTAGATTAAATTTGTCAATACCAGATATACACATAATGTACAATAAACTTGCTGCAGAAGAAACTACAAATAATGAATATTCTCACTCAGGGCTGAAAAAGGCTGCCTAGGTACAAGACAAGTCTTAAATGACTACCTAGGCCAACTGAGAATGGCACCTGATATATTGATAACAATATTACAATAACAATCATTTGAATGTTGGGTTTAAACCATAATTACAAAATATCTTTTCATAAATCACCAAATATTGCTATACTAAATGTATACCTACCAACTATTTTATGTTTACTTATTAGAAGTGCAAACGCTCAGGCAAGTGACAAAGGTATGGTTAAAATATAAAATATTCAAATTTTAATGATCCTGTATACAATACCAGAAAATACAATAGTTGTGTTATATGTGCTTCTTTTAGAAATGCACTTCTAACGAAGTAGATGTGATATATGGAATTAATCCATTATAATTTATAATTATCGGTAATGTTAGTAATATTGGGGTGGGGGGGGGGTGTGGGTGGCTGGATACAAGGCTTGATGGCAGTTGGCAGGTACACAAATGCAATACATCGCTGATAATGATATCAAAATATTTGCACCAGTAATTGTTTTTTTTTTATAAAAGACTCAATCCCTTTTCTAAATACTAATATATTTAAAATCTTGAAAAACTTGAATTGCTTCGGCTACCTTAAGAAATCTATTCACATCTTTTTTTTTTTGTGGAAACCTACAAAAAAATCATTCAAAGGTCTTTTATTGTGTATACATAAATAAAGAAAGGAAAGTATATTCAACCATACAGACAAGGCATGAGTTGAAAAATCACCCAGTTTCAAGATAAAATTGTCTTAGTACTGTAGAATACTTTATTTTCACTTGGAATTAATTTTTGCTATTTTCGCTGAAGGGATGATTCTGTGAAAATAAAATCCAGCGAATATACTTTTTTTCCTATATTTCACATTAAACTCATCAACAATCAGCGAAAATAAATTCCAGCGCAAATAAAGTATTCCACAGTATATAGAAATAATATGGGGAAAATTGGTATATTGGCCTTTGATGTCTCTGTGAATTTCAAGCTTTGTACAAAACTTGTACAACAGCTTCTACACACTACTTCCATTTATTACTGATAAGTAAACAGTAGAATGAAGTGAACACCTGGAAAGGCCACAATAGTTGTTGTTTACAGATCAGACATGCTGCATTAGCGATTGTCTTGAAAGACCAAATTAGTTAATTATCATAAATCAGAAGAATCGACCATCCTACCCTGTATGATAAATTTTGAGAATCATTTCACAGACCCGTGACTTTATTAGCACACCTAGGGTGTGTTCAGAAGCACAAAATCTTTTTAAACCTTCTCACATTTTTTTTATGCTGGTAAGTCACCTCATTAGCATTACTAGCGAGCGCCAGTAAAAACTGGATCATTTGAAAAGAAGATTATTGGGCACTTCCAAATACTCTACCCTTATACATTTGTATTACCCCAGGTATACCAGTACAGATGACCATGATTAAACCTTATCTAGTCAAGTCAATGTAAAATTACATAGGGCTGGCAGGATTAGGGTTAATACATGTACTTGTACTACGACAGAGAACGCAAAGAGACTACCGGTAGTAACCTTTGTAATTACAGCATTTCTCAATACTTCAAGGTTATGCAAGTCACAGTAATTTTCAAAAGAAAAGAAAATAGAGCAGTTGAATTATCTTGTTCTCTTTAATTTGACACTGCCATGAATCTTTACAATTCATCCCTGAGTATAGTGTAGCGATTTTCACTTGGCTTGAGCTTTACAAACGAACTTTCTGGCGGCACTGAAGGTTCTTCCTTCTTTACTTCTTTAGTGGTGGTCTTATCAGGAAGGCCCACTCCTCCTTGTATGACAGGAGACTTAGTCGGGTCCGGACCATGATGAAATTCTCGATGAAGTTTTCCAGAATGCAAATCAGCAATAAACTGTTTTAACTTGCCAGATACGCTACAAGAAATGATTTAATCATTAAACGATAAGCAAGACTAACATATCAGGTGGTAGTCTGCTGTCTCTGTTGGTTAGGTAATCAAGACCTTACAGGCAAATGAGACAACAAACAAAATTTCACATGAATCTGAGGTTCTGCCTTTTTACTTGATTGATTTGAAAACTGGCCATCCCAAAACATCTGAAGCAGAATTGTGTCATAGTACACTTCTTAAGCTGTGGAAATGTTCAGTAATTCAGAGATATGTTCAGCTGGCACCACCCAGCATTCTGATTGGTTAATAACCAAGTTGACCTAATGACAGTTTCAATGAATGTTCCCCTTTTTCAAAAATTAAATGCATGTATGCCTAAGAAATAGTTGATGAAATGTTAAAATATTTTTGGGACAAACATGGCAACCAGTTGATAGAATCAAAAAAACAAATCAATCATAGCATTATGTCCTGCTTTTGTGCAACTTTAAAATGGTGTGGGCATGTCAGAAATTATGTTGGAATGGACAGATGGACAGACTGACAGAATTCAAGTCACTGTTTTGGATTACATCAAATTTGTTTAAAAATCGAAAATACTGTAAAACATGTCTTTTTCACGAGCATGTCAAATTTAGCGAGAGAACTGATTCGCTAATTCAAGATGTCGCTAATGACTTTATTATACATTCAAAATGGCCAAGGTTTGGGGATTTGTATACAGTAATCCGGAACATAAAAATATGGGGCGCTTCCTCATAACAGTTTTTCTTTGTTTTTATGGAGGTGATAACTGCGCATTTGTTTTGGCACCCGACAGACATGTATTGTGAAAACAGGAAATAACAATGACAGATTCGCTAAATCAACATTTCGCTATTACATCATTTTACAGTTGCTTTTTCAACATGTTTTACAGTAATTCCATGTGAAAATAACATTTAGAGTGATGTAGAAATACTGAATACATACCCAAGCTGTGTGATATCTGGAAACAGGTACATATGTTTAAAACTGTCAATTGATAATAAAGGAAGGTCTTTCACTGTTTTACCGAGATGATGTAGCGGGTGAGTGAACTTTGACCCATCAGCTGTCAAGAAATTGACGCTACCTGCAGAAATAAACAATCTGTTAGTTCCAGTTCACATTCAATAGTTGTTAGAAATTTGATTTGATCAGAATATAGATGCTAATAATAACAATAATACTTTAGACATAGAAATTCCAAACAAACTGCAGTTGAGTCAAAGCACAATGCAAAATTTGATATGCTGAAAGAGCTGGTCTCTGATTGGTCTGACTGTAAGGCGCAAGTATTGAGTAGCCAATCAGGCACAATTTTGAAAGTAACTTTGCATTAAATCAAAAACTGTGCCAAGTTATTTTCTATGACTGGATTTTTTAAAACTATTAAAATGACGACCAGAGTGGGTTAAAACTTTCAGTGGGGAAATCCTCAATTTGTACGAGTTCTTTTTCATTTATTTGAAGAAACTATTCGATTAGTGCAATGTAAAAATAATAGTGATTTGGCATTTCCGCTAATTACTTGCATGAATCTATAAAAGCTGTCATAGTTCCACCAAATGACTGAACATGAACAAAGAAATCATACCTTTCTCATGTATAAGCTCCCTTGCCACAACCTGGTTGAAAGTTTGTATTATCTCAACATCATCTGGTTTGTGGAATAAAATAACAAATGGTAAGCCTTCCTCAGTCAATTCCTGAAAACATAGAAATAAATATTTTAACTTTGTTTTTACCACAAATTCATATAAAAATATGGGCTCAGCAAATCTCATTGTTTGATGCTTAGTATTATTTCATTACTACATGTATGTGCAAAAAATGTTGTACATACTTTGTTATGTTTGCACTGTTATTTTTCATTTAATGAATGTTTAATGAAGATATAAAGTTTGCTGTGCACACATTTCAATTATTCATGGCCCCTTGTACAACTGTTTATAACCAACTGTTGCAAAATATCTAACTCTTTGAAGCCAACATTTTTCCTGATAAAATAATGATTTTACACCAAATAGACTAATTTCCTATAGTTTACATGTCAAGATTGTGGAAGAATGTAAAAAAAATTATTATATTTCATGAAAAGTGCCAAAAATTTGACTAATTAGTTGTTAGGTTTCCTTTTTACAATCACTACATTTATCCATTACAACACAACTTGATGTACATTATGTCAAGAAAGAATTACTAGATTGCCAGGATGTCATATTTGCTCTATCAGAAGTACCGGGTACATCTAAAGAAGAATCAATTGTCTACCAGATCATTATATATAATTAACGGTATATATAATTGATTATGGCCATAGATACACCTCTGTCATGCACTACGAAGTGGAGCAAATACAGCATCTGCTTTTTTTTGGCCTTTTCAAGACTTTAACAAAAATCCTTATATCTTAGATATGAGAGCCATTTTGTTATTTTTTCCTTGAAAATTAAAATAATGATTTTTTTACTGCAAAAGTACATGACACTACAGGTACATGTAAAGCCAGAGGGTAAAATTCAAAGAAACCTGGCAATAAGTTTTAATGAAATGAAAGTTGAGTACAGATAATGCTTGAGTACTGCTACTGGTACAGAGAGGAAAGAAAGATCTTTTTCTGAACACTGGAGGGCACTATGATAGGTTGAAAAATTCAACTTACCTCCCCATTTTCAAACGTAATTTCTCTGACTAAGGGAACACACTTGTCATATGACCAGGTAAGAAGCAAGTCAAAATTGGTAAGTGAACCAAGATACAACATATCTTGGTCTTTTGTCTGAAATAAATGCAAACATTTTGGAAAAATCAGTAGATCATTTGTAGAATACTTTATTTTCACTTGGAATTAATTTTCGCTATTTTCGGAAATTTAAGGAATGAATCAGTGAATATAAAATTCAGCAAATATACCTTTTTTCCTATATTTTACATTCAACTTGTCAAAAATCAGTGAAAATAAATTCCATACAAAACACCAAAAAAGTCTATTCAGCAAAAATTAATTCCAGCTAAAATAAAGTATTTTACAGTATTATATATTATATATATGGTAAGTAGTTTTACTTTAAAATTGTATTAAACAAAGAAAAAAGTTTATTTAGAGCCCTATAACGACAATATTGATTGTACTTACTCTAGGTGGCCTGAACATAATATTATTACCAGCTGTCATCTCAGGACGAAATGCATCACTGAAAAACATAATGATTATTCATAAATCGTAAATTATTTGGAATAACATGGCCACAACATTTTAGAATTATAATAGATATGTGTACTTTAACCCTAATATTTTCAGGTCCATGTAATTTCACATTGAGACACATTTTAAACAAAACTTCCTTTCAAACTTGGGTAATTTTGTCAAAAACCACATTCACAAAATATTCTCCTTGAATCATTCAATCAAGAAACCTCTTGATGTAAATTTGATATAATATGTTTATAGACTATTCTCAATGACATGATAATTGATATCATAAATAAGTATAAAATCCTTTAAAATAACAAGTATACACGAGATAGACTTACCCAATACCAGCATAGAAAACACAATCATCTCGAAGTGAGCTGGCAACTTTTTTGAATGTCACATAATCAGCTGAAGTTTCAGAGTTGAAAAAAGCAATAACATTTCTTTTCTTTTCCTGGAAAACAAAACAAAACAGCTTACATTTATAAAACAAAAAACGGGTTATATAAATGAAAATATCTTACTAAATCAAGATCACACAATTGTGAGCAGTGTTCATAGTGACTAGGGTGTATGATGAACTCATCAAAACAGGGAAACTTGGTACTAATACCAATTATTATTGCCAAAAATGTTAATATATTGCTCATTTTGCAAGAAAACTCCCTGTGAGGAACTTGTGCATTTATTCTGGCATGGCGTTTGAATAGATTATGTGATGTCATCAACACTTGTGCTCGGTTATAATCTCTTGCCAAATATGCTACTGGTAATTTCCCCCAGAAAGGATTTGTACAGTACTAACTACTATATCCTTGCTTGCTGTTTATAACCTCTAACAAGAACAGCAGCATAAACTGAGCAAGTATATAACCACAACAACCACATTTGCTTTCATGAGAACATAGAAAGCCATGGTAAATATGCATAGCAAACCAACATGTTGAATATCACATTCTTGTGTGTTGATGTGGCAGGTAATTTAGGCAACGAGATAAATTGTTCCCAAGATGTCATGTGCCTTCAATAGTCATGAAAATGGAACCAACAAAATTTTACACTGCCTCTAGTTTTTGATACATTTTTTTTAAAGTTTTGCAACAATAAATATTGAAAAGAGCTGACTATAAATAGAACTTTTGTGTGGATGCATTCTCGCCGCCAGAGTTTATTTCTGCTTCGAGACTCAATGAAATGTGTAGGCTTGCCGTAAAAAGGCCGAGGCGAGGCTGTGGTGTACGACGATGTGTGGATGGTACCTGAAGTTGAACTTGTGCTCAAAGGTTAAATGAAATTTTGCAAAAAAAAAGAAGAGATAGATCCATTGTCACACAGACAGCACATGAAAAAAACTATTTTATTCGTACCAGCGGAAAGGTTGGCTACCTGGAGCTTCAACAAGCAATTGTCATACAAGCAGCCACTAGCAATAAGCAAAAGGTGTCTGATATAGTGGTGATCTGTTTTCTTTGATATTGTATATTAAATTTTATCAAAATTCAAAGGCGATTGATGCATACCATTATATCTAGTTTTGTACAAAAATTAAACAAAATTGGGCAGAGACTGAAAAATAGTAAATCATATTCTGGTGAATGAAATTGGCTGCCGGTCAGAAGGGATAGACCTCTGAACAAAATCATGTCAACCAGGGATGAATCAATCATGTCTGTCGAAGCAAAGTACTGACAAAACACAGAATTAAAATCTATTTAAAATTCATACTTTTATTAATATGGATACAGAATGTGCATAGAAAATGGAAAATAACTCCAGGGTAACAATTGATCGCAGAAATTGTCAATATTCATTGGTTTCTATGGTGATAGTATTCCATCACATCAAGAGATTTTGCACAATGACAAAAGCCCTACCATATTATTAACATAAATCCAGATTTCAGATTTCTAGAGTGAACCAACTTGTAAGTCAGAAAATCTCCATATATACATACAGCTATTTACAATTTCAAAGGGCATCAACAAGACATTTAGGTAGAGGTGGGTGACATCTAGACAACAGTAGACTTTAGAAGTTTCATTGAATTTCTTAGCACTGTTTGATCATTCTTACTGGTATTATTTTAAATTTTCAAAAGTAATATTTAATTTATCAAGATATTTTCTTTTTTAACTCGAAACACCATAATGCAAATGCCATGTACACCGTCATGGTTGGACTCCCATTGTCTTGAATAGTGCCATACATGGTTATGTGGTGAACTAAAACAAGACGTACATATAGAAGCACTCTGAACAAAGTCTACAGATTTATGTCCATACTATAGAAAAAGCAACAATGCTGTAAATAATAGATACTTTAACAATATGAACAATTAATACCATATGGCCTGCTGAATGTATCATTCAATAATGAAAAATAAATCAATACAAGTGTGTGTGTCTGATTCTCAAGCATAGTGGCTACTACATAAATTAAATCTAAATAAATCAACAAAATAATTTATCACTATATAATTCAAATGTATATTAAATATTTTTACATTTAATAATAGTTACAAATTGTAACTAGGGCACTGCTAATCCTAAGCCACCCACCATGGCAACTAACATTTAGAAATGGCTACAAAAAATTACATCACTTTTGCCATGGCTAAATGTGTGACTGATGACTGATAGCAAAATAGGTGTTTACACGGTTGAATTTATTTGAACTGATCAGAAACCAGATGGCAAATTTCAAGTACGTCCTATTTTTTTAAAAATCTGATTTTGCAGTTTACATGATGTGATTCATCAGGACAGATTAGTATGATCATGTAAAATATTGTTAAGGCCAAGGAAAATTTATTTTTGATAACCCTACCTACACACATTTGAGATAAAAATCCAACTTTTTTTTATGTAAATGAGGCCAGTTTTATTTTATTTTTATGCATATTGTTCTACCCACAACATTTTATTTTGTTCATTCACTTCCTTTGATATAGTAGATAATCAAAACATAACTTTTGGAAATCCACTAAAATGACTACAGGTATCTGCTACTAGTGGTCATTCTTTCTTAACCCTTAACATGCTTCAATTTATCTGACCATAACGTTCCCCCCACTGCATTCTTTTCAAAAAAAATAAGACAGACAGTCACTGTGGATTCAATAATCGTAACTTTTTTATTTGCCATGCAAAAGTCAATAATGTGATATGTAAACATATCTAGAAAAAACAATCTTTCATAATATTGTATT